TTTTTTTTTTTTTTGGTACAGGGGGTCTAACTCAGGACCTTGTGCTAAATCCCTGGCCCTTTCTTCTGCTTTTTTAATGTAAGCTTCACAGGGACTCTGGGCATGTTGTCATTTGCCTATATCCCAGCAGAGGGAGGTTAAGGTGAGAGGATCACAAGTTCGAGTCCCGCCTGGGCAACTTAGTGAGATCCTGTCTCCAAAAATAAAAAAGGCTGGGGATGTAGCTCAGAGCAGAAACCTTGGGTTCAATCCCCAGTACTGGGAATAAAAAAGACTTCACAAGTAATTCAAGTCTACTCATGACGTCTACTGGGTGAGTAGCAGAGAATTTGCCAGTCTCAGAGAGGTCACTTTATTGAGAGGTGCTGCCTTACTTTAGTATGCATTGTAGACAAGAATACAGTATTGTGTGGAGATTGTGTATCTCTTCCTTACTGGTAACGTTTTTATTGTTGTTTTCAGTACTGGCACTTGAACCCAGGGCCTCATGCATACTAGGCACATAGGCCTGCACTCTAGCACTGAGCTACATCCCCAGCCTTTTTTTCATTTTTACTCACTTAGTTGCCCAGCTGGGCTCAAACTTTCTGTCCTCTGCCCTGAGCCCCCAGAGTAGCTGAGATTCCAAGCCTGCGCCACCATACCCAGCCCTAATGATAACTTTTTTAGAGACTAAAAGACTCAGTTGTCAGCCTGAATTCCCTCTTCTTTGTGAAAAGGAAAGAGGAAAGCAAAACAACAAATTAATATAAACTTTTGGTTTCTTTTTTTTTCCAGCCAACTGTAAAACTCTTCATTGATGGGAAATTTGTTGAATCCAAAAGTGACAAATGGATTGACATCCACAACCCAGTAAGCAAAGCTTTAAAACTTAAAACTGAGTAGCCTAGAGTCTTGGGGACATGGTGGAAGGTGAGGACCCAGGTATATATCATAAAGAATGTAGTACTGCCACAATGACCAGACAGAACACAGAGAGGGCAGCATTGCCATGGTGTGATGGCTTCTTTTTCCCAACAGGCCACCAATGAGGTCATTGGTCGGGTCCCTGAGTCTACCAAAGCTGAAATGGATGCGGCCATTGCTTCCTGCAAGCGTGCTTTTCCTGCATGGGCAGACACCTCAGTGTTAAGCCGGCAGCAGGTCCTGCTCCGCTATCAACAACTTATTAAAGAAAACTTGGTAAGAAATCTAAAAGGTATCAGTTTCCACATTGTTGCCTAGGGAGAGTCGGTCACTCCTCCAGAGACCTTATCAACTACCCTACCTAACTCCACAACAGAGACACATTGAACACAGCTCTCATCCTAGTTCTCGCCTACAGTTTTGTGCTTCCTTGGCTAACAGAATTAAATGGAGTAACATAGGGGCTAGGGATGTAGCTTGGTGATAGAGTATATGCTGAGCATGTACAAGGCCCTGGTTCAATCCCCAGTACCAAAAAGATAACTAAAAAAGAAAAGAAGGAGGGAAGGAGAAAGAGTGGAAGGGGAGAGGAAGACATGAGACAGAGGAGAAAAGGAAGATGAAGAAGGAAGGGAGGGAGAGAGGGAAGGAAGGATTATCCCTGCATTATTTTCTATTTGTGTGTTTTCTCTCTAGAAAGAAATTGCCAGGTTAATCACAATGGAACAAGGGAAGACCCTAGCTGATGCTGAAGGAGATGTATTTCGAGGCCTTCGTAAGCTGGCAGCCTGTCATGGGAGTTTTGGGAAAAAACAAAATGAGAGGCAAAGATCCCAGAATGGGGAGGTTGCTTCTTTATGTAGATTTTGCTAGCTCATGATATCCTTTTTTTTTTTTCCCAGTGCAGTACTAGGGATCAAATCCAGGGGTGCTGTACCATTGAGCTACATCCCCAGTCCTTTTTATTTTGGGACAGAGTCTCACTAAATTGCCCAGACTAATCTTGCACTTGTGATCCTCCTGCTTCAGCTTCCCAGGGTGCTAGGATTACAGGCAAGTGCCATGACACCTTGCTCTATGATAACCTTTTTAATACTTACTTTAAAAATTGCAATACCAGAGGGCTGGGGATTTAGCTCAGTGGCACCACGCCTGCCTCACAAGCACAAGGTCCTGAGTTCGATCCCCGGTACCAAAAAAAAATTGCAGTACTTTTCAGGTACCATTGAGAATGATTTATTTCATTCTTTGTTTTTTCAAATGATTGTCCAGTAGGTATATACATGTCACTGTCTTTTTCCCGTACCAAGTCTTTTTTTCAGTACTGGGAATTGAACCCAGGGCCTTCACAGTGAGGTACATCTCAGCCCTTTTTAAAATTTTTTATTTTGAGACAGGGTCTCACTAAGTCATTAAGTTGCTCAAGCTGGGCTCAAACTTGTGGTCCTCCTCCATCAGCCTCCCATAATGCTGGGATTACATATGAGCCACCACCCCTGGTCGACAAACTCATTCTATACAACCTCTTCACATGGAAGGACAAGTCATTGTTTCACCCTATCTTTGGCCCAAGCCGCTCCCTCTGCTACAGGATGAATGGAGCATGACAGAGCTAAGGTAGTGCTCAGGACAGAGAGCTGGTGGTCTGACTTTTTCTCCTGTGTTCCAGAGGTGGTTGAGCATGCCTGCAGTGTGACATCCCTCATGCTGGGAGAGACCATGCCGTCCATCACCAAAGACATGGACCTTTATTCCTACCGTCTGCCTCTGGGGGTGTGTGCAGGCATTGCTCCATTTAATTTTCCTGCCATGATACCCCTTTGGATGTTTCCCATGGCCATGGTTTGTGGAAATACTTTCCTAATGAAACCATCAGAGCGAGTCCCTGGAGCAAGTATGCTGCTTGCTAAGTTGATCCAGGATTCTGGTGCCCCTGATGGAACATTGAACATCATCCACGGAAAACATGAAGGTAACTGCCCTTCTGCATGTGGCTACTTACTTAGTCTGGCTACCTAAAATCCAAGGTGAGGGGTGGTAATTGGGTGCTTTACAATGAGAAAACTAGGAAGGAAAGGTGTTACTAATAGTAATGTCCATGTTTGAAGGTAATGTGTGTTGACTATTTTATTATCTGTGTGTGCTCATGTGACTAACTGGAGAGGACCAGTGCTTCTTGCCTCTCACTGCACACAGGGTCACCAGAGATATGGATTAGGACCAGACAGAAATAAGAGTGAAGTGAAAAGGGCCAGGGATTTAGCTCAGGGGTTCCGCTGCCTGCTTTGCAAGCACAAGGTCCTGAGTTCAATCCCCGGTACCAAAAAAACAAAACAAAACAAACAAACAAAAAAAAGAGTAAAGAGAAAAGTTTTGTTTGAATGTTGAGGGAATTGACAAGGATATTTAATTGAAAGGATCTGTAGACATTAGGGAAATTGAGGGCCTAAGTCTTATAATAACTAATACTTAAATAGTGCCTCTGTGATTCAGGCACTGTTCTTAGTTCTTCTAATACACATGGTTGGGGGTGTAGCTCAGTGATAGAACACACACTTAACTGAGCATGCACAAGGCCCTGGGTTTGATCCCCAGCATCAAGTAAATAACTTAATAAAGAAAGAAATATATACATATTTTTCCCTCCCCATTTAATCTTTGTAACAATCATTTGTCAGTACTATTTTTTTTTCCATTTTAAAGATGAGAAAATTGAAGCATAATGAAATTAAGTAATTTGCCCAAAAGTCATACTGCTAGAAACTATCAAAATGTGTTACCCAGGGAGACTGATTGGTGTTTGCTTTTCAATACTATGCCCTATCATGCTCACTTCAGCAGCACATATACTAAAATACTATGCCCTATCACTTCTTTTTTCTTGGTACCAGGGCAGGCACAGCACCATTGAGCTACATCCCTGGGCCTTCCCTTTCACTTCTTTACTGGGGATCAAATGGAGGACCTTATGCTTGCCAGACAGGCACAGCACCACTGAGCTACATCCCCAGCCCTATGCCCTGTCACTTCTCATAGGAGGACCCTACTGAGGGTCTCACTATATAGAGACAGTTGAGGATGTTTCACATTCTTAAAGGACAAAAAGGGTCATATACTGAAAGGCTGTTATTGAAAGGAAAATAGTGGTTCACTAACTTCAGAGTTAGACTTGAAGTGGAAATTCTGAAATAATGAGAAAAACAAAGGAAGAGGTTAAATAGAATTTCTAATTTAAAGAATTTAAGAGAAATAAATACAAAGAAACTTCATAATGGGAATCCAATATAGAAAAACAAATGTATGAAAACTTGATTCATAGCAGTGGCAAAGGGAAAAATTTGCCATCTTGAGAAGACTGTGGCTATTTGTTCTTTGTAGTAATCATTTATTTTCTTCTTAAAGCTGTCAATTTTATTTGTGATCATCCGGACATCAAAGCAATCAGCTTTGTGGGATCCAACCAGGCAGGAGAGTACATCTTCGAGAGAGGGTCAAGACATGGGAAGAGGGTTCAAGCCAATATGGTGACTTCTTATTCCCTTTTCTCCCAAACTTTGTTATATATATTTAAATGACCTAGGGACAGCCCTTCAGCAGAGGGGCTGCTCATTCCTCTCTAATGCCAGTGTTTCTTAATTATATTTTATCCTGAATGTCTTCTCCTTAGCCATGAAGTTTGTGAGTTTTACTCTGTCACAGTGATCACCCTCTATCATATACAACTAATCTTGGTGATAAAGGGCACATTCCTCCTTAAGAATATCATTCAAATTCTTTGGGCTTCAGTAGTAACAGCCGAATTCTAGTTCTATTATTTCCTTTATACCATACTTCCAGCCCTTAATCTTTCCTTCTTTTAAGGAATATCCTAACTACTAATGTCTTGTTTCGTTTTGTTGTTTTTTTTTGTACCGGGCATTGAACTCGGGTCCTTGAGCTTGCAAGGCAGGTGGCAGAACCACTGAGCTAAATCCCCGGGCCCCTAACTACTAATGTCAAAGATAGGATCAGTCTATTTTAAGGCACTGGAAAAAGCCAAATATCCCTATATGATATGTGGGTATGGTTTACTTTTACTGTTCTTTTTCTAGTTCCTTGCTGAATGTTGAGCAATTGTTTTAATTAATTAATTTATTTTGTGATACTAGGGATTTAACCCAGGGCCTCACACATGCATGCCAGGCATCACTGAACTACATCCTCACCCCTTGTTACTTTTATTTTTTATTTTGAATCAGGGTCTTGCTTGGTAAGTTAGTTGTACTGGCCAGCGTTGGACTTGAGATCCTCCTTCCTCAGCCTTCCAAGTAGCTGGAATTGCAGGCATGGGCCACCATGCCAGGCTGAGACTCTTTGATACTCAATATAAAGTCCTGTTGCAGGGCTGGGGATTTAGCTCAGCAGCACCATGCCTGCCTGGCAAGTGCAAGGGCCTGAGTTCCATCCCCTGTACCAAACAAACAAAGTCCTGTTGCAATCATCTTGCCCTCCCTCTCCCCACTCCAGTATTGAACCCAGGGCCTTTGCGCTGAACTCAATCCCCAGTCTTTAAAAATTTTTTTGAGATAGGGTCTTGCTAAATTACCCCTCCCAGAGTGCTGGAATTATAGGCGTGTACCTCCATGTCCAGCTCATCCTTCTCTAATCCTCCTCACTTCCTATTGTACAGGGGATAGCCACCTATGCACAGACTTAGAAACTTTTCATGCTGGAATGTGTTTCATCTAATTTGATGTAAACCCTTCCTAATTCACTGTTTATTAAATATATTCTGTGTTCAACATGCATAATGGGATTAAGTAACAGACATGGTATCTATCCATGCAGTCAACTGAATTCTTATGTGGAAACTTGACAATGCTACATAGAAAAGACATACATGTAGCTGTATTATATAGAAACAAGCCAATTTGGGAACCTCTTTCTAGAAGTTATGTATCAGGAGATCTGCCTTCTGTTTTGACTCTCAGATGGTTACTGGCTTTACTATTACTGGCAGCTCTTTGTTTATACTGTTCTTCATTTAATTGGAAACCCACGTAGACAACAAATTCCTTCCTAACTTAGGGGAAAAAAGGGTATTTTCCTCAGTTGCTGAATGTAATGTTTAACCTATTGGTTTGAATGTTATTGGGGCTTTCTTTTTATTTCCTCCCTTCTTTGGTAATACTTTTGATCTAAATAAATACATATCACTGGGTATAGCAGTGCACACCTATAATCTCAGCACTCAGGAGGCTGAGGCAGGAGGATTGTCATGAGTTCAAGGCCAGCCTGGGCTACATAGTGAGCTCAAGGCCAGTCTGAACTACACAGCAAGACCCTGTCTCAAAAAAATGAAAAAAATTAATACATACATTCATATCAGCTTATCAACTGGAAAGTGGAGAAAAAGTAATGTGGAGACCTGCTCAATCTTCCTGTTAGCAGTGACAATATTAAACATAATTTTTTCATCCTCAAAATGAGAAATTATTTCTCTAGTCCTTTGCTTAAGTTATCACTTGAAATTTCAGGCTCTTTGATTTCTTAGCTTAATTGTATTTGGTCAGGGAAGCCCATGCACTTTCTGTATTTCTTTAGGGAGCCAAAAACCATGGGGTAGTCATGCCAGATGCCAATAAGGAAAATACCCTGAACCAGCTTGTTGGGGCAGCATTTGGAGCTGCTGGTCAGCGCTGCATGGCTCTTTCAACAGCAATCCTCGTGGGAGAAGCAAGGAAGTGGCTGCCAGAGCTGGTGGAACGTGCCAAAAAACTGCAGGTCAATGCAGGTAATCAATCATCTGCCTAGCAACTTTTGATTCTGCATCTGTGGTATGAAGCTCTTGGTTTTAGCATTGTCCTTGGCCAGTGGAGAACAATCATGTCTACTCTTATCATTGTCTCTCTTTATACTGTTACCTGTCATTTGGGTTCATCTCTGATTAGCAGCCATAATTTATGTTAATAAAGACCTTAGCACTTGTATGTTGTTTTGTAGGAGACCAGCCTGGAGCTGATCTTGGCCCTCTGATCACCCCCCAGGCCAAAGAGCGAGTCTGTAATCTGATTGATAGTGGACCGAAGGAGGGAGCTTCCATCCTCCTGGATGGGCGAAATATTAAAGTGAAAGGCTATGAAAATGGTAACTTTGTTGGACCAACCATCATCTCAAAAGTCAAGGTGAACAACTCTTATTTCACAAATACGAGCGCTGAAGGCACCTTAGAAGCTATGGAATCTCATCCTTCTAATTTATAAATGAAGGCATTTCATTATTAAAGTTGCAGCCCTCATCAGAATTGCGGTTATTTTATGTGGAGTCTGATTAACTCTCCCCTTCTGACTCCCAGCCAGAGCTCTGCCCTACACCAGTATTCAGCACACTTCCATATCTCTATCATTGCAGAGACAGTCTCTGTCAAAACTACTCAACTCTAATGTGTCCTGAGAAATCAGCCATAAACATTATGTGGCTGTGCTCTAATAAAACTTTATTTATGGACATACATTTGAATTTCATGTACTTTTGGGCCGGGGATTTAGCTCAGTGGTTATGCCATCTGTCTCAAAAGCGCAAGGAGCCGAGTTCAATCCCCGGTACAAAAAAAAAAAAGATTCATGTACTTTTACATTCTGAAATAATTCTTTTTGATATTTTTGTCAGCTACTTCAAAATGTAGAAATCATTCTAGCTTGTGTACTGTACAAAAACGGGCAGCAGCCACATTTGGCCTATAGGCAGTAGTTTGTCAACCACTGTCTTACATTACTCTGGTTGTTTAGTTCTCCCTCTCTCGCTCTCCAACTCAGCTATTTCAGTATCTCAATCAATATATCTACCACCAGTTTTTTCCCCTGTACTGGGGAATGAACCCAGGGAGTACTGAGCTATATTCCCAGCCCTTTTTATCATTATTTTTATTTTGAGACTGGGTCTTGCTAAGTTGCCCAGGCTGGTCTCAAACTCAATCCTGCATCAGCCACCAGGCAGCTGGGATTACAGGTGCAACACTACACCTGGCTCCAGTATTTACTGAAGACCTATTCTGTGCCCAAAATTTAGCTGTATCTTCACAAGAAAATGACAAAAGAAAAAGAATTCATTGGTCAATTTTTATTTATCAAAACTCTGAAAGTCTCTCAGCTAATATTCACCACTAAATTGAGACTAGGAGGCTTTTTTTTGAAATTCACATATCCAACTATAATCATGAATAATCGGGATTGAACTCTTGCCATAGAATCATAAAGGAAAAAATCTACTGATCAGCAACACAGCTGACTAGAAGGAGTACCGAAGGATGTTTTGACTGTTTAAGTGTGACCAAATACCAAAGTAAAAATGTTCAGACTTACTTGGGAAGCAAAGAAATGAATGAGAACTTCAGCACAGGGCTTCTATAAACAAAGAAATTCTCCTGGTGTATTTATGTTTGATTTATAAAAAATGAACTTTTTGGTAAGAATTGTATGGAAGTGGTTGTCCAGGTATGGGAGGCCAGTGATGTTTCGTGGGAACTAAAACTGAGAGTGTGGTTATAATTAAAAGGAATTTCAAATTATTACATGTTGGTAGCTCAGAATATGGAACAGACTGAGAGGACTATTTTAAATAGTGATTTAAAATGAAAGTAGATTGCAAACATGAAAGCTGTCCATGTAGACAGCTGGGTAGTAAAAGTACCAATTAAGTATAAAATACTCAAAATCCAAAAAGCTGACTTCTTTCTGGACACATCACTCCCGGCAGCCAAATATGACCTGTTACAAAGAGGAGATTTTTGGTCCAGTTCTTGTGGTCTTGGAGACAGAAACATTGGATGAAGCCATTAAGATTATAAACAACAACCCTTATGGAAATGGAACCGCCATCTTCACCACCAATGGAGCCACTGCTCGGAAATATTCCCACCTGGTGGATGTCGGACAGGTCTGTGAACAGAAGTTTTGAAAATTCTTCTAGCTCTTTAGTATTTCTGAGAGACAGTAAGCAGTGATCGGTCACTGCAGCTTGTTTAAAGATTGCCCCTTTAATTTTCCCCCATGGTCTATTTCTTCCTCAGGAGTAAAAGTTTGTGGGATGGAAGGTATCTACTTTAGATGGGTCTCTCAAAAAAAGAAAACAAAACGGGCCAGGGATTTAGCTCAGTGGTTCTGCTGTCTGCCTCACAAGTGGAAGGTTTGATCCCTGGTACCAAAAAAAAACCACCCAAAACATAAAGTTCTTAAAAAAAAAAAAAGATTAGTCTTTCTGTTGTCTTTGTGCTTCTAAATGGAGAATCCATAGTTTGAGTCCTTTGCTTGGGATTTGATATGGATTTGTTCTGCTTTAGGTGGGAGTCAACGTCCCCATCCCAGTGCCTTTGCCAATGTTCTCATTTACTGGCTCTCGAGCTTCCTTTAGAGGAGACACCAATTTCTATGGCAAACAGGTAATTTGAGTTAAATATTTTTCTCTTTAAGAAAATTTCTTGAACATATTCAGGAGCAAGGATTCTGCAAAGAAGGGCTTGTCAGCAGCTTCTGTGGGCTCATATGTTGTTCCATTGTATCTCTCAGAAAGTTCCCTAGAAAAGATTTAAAAATTAACAAAATTTTGCCCAAACAGTTTGAGGAAAGAGTACCCGGAATTCCAAGCTTTTGTATGTGCCATTTCCCCTGTCTGAAACTCTGCTCCCCATCTCTGACCTCTCTCTAGGCTTAAAGAACAGACTCCTCCAGAAAACCCCTATGGCCACTACCACTCCTTCCTTGATGCTGCATGTGTGCTCCATGTGATCCCATTGCATATACTTCACCTGGGATAGTTATTTGTTTACAAAAACTTTTTGGGGGGGGCCAGTACTGGAAATTGAAGCCAGAGCCTCTACAATGAGCTACATTCCCATCCTTTTTTTTATTTTTTATTTTTTTTGGGGTACCAGGGATCGAACTCAGGACCTTGCACTTGAGAGGCAGGCGTGGTGCCTCTGAGCTAAATCCCCAGCCTTTTATTTTTTTATTTTGAGATAGGGTTTTGCTAACTTGCCCAGGTTGAGCTCAAACATGTGATCCTCCTCCCTCAGCCTCCCAGAGCACTGGGATTACAATTGTGTGCCACCACATTTGGGTGTTTACAAAAAACTTTATTGAGCTGGGTGTAACAGCATACTTGTAATCCCAGCAGTCCCAGGAGGAGCACATGTTTGAGCCCAACCTGGGCAACTATAATAATTTATCGAGATCCTGTCTCAAAAATAATAAAAAGGTCTGGGGATGTAGCAATACTGCTAAAGTGAAATAAATAAAACCAAAATATAAAATGAAAATTTTAATGGGCTGGGGCTATAGCTCAGTGGCAGAGTATTTGCCTAATATGCATGAGGTCCTAGATTTAATCTCCAACACCACAAAAAGAAAAAAATTTATTGAATACCTTCTTTGTACCAAACACTATTCTGGGCATTATGAGTATAGCACTGAACAAGAAAAAGCATGCAGATCTGGAACTAGACTGCTTGGTTCAAATCTCAACTCAGTCAGTTATGAGCTGTGTGACTTGGGATATACCCTCTTCTAGGCCTCAAGTTTCTTTATCTGTAAAAGGAGAATATATTTCATATGCCTATGAGGATTGAACCATCACCACATGGGTCAGCAGGTTCATGTCCTATGGCAGGAACAGGCATGGCATGTTAGACAGCAGAAATGAGCCGGAGCGGGCCGGGGATTTAGCTCAGTGGTTTCACTGCCTGCTGCGCAAGCACAAGGACCCAAGTCCGATCCCTGGTACCAAAAAAACCCAAAAAACAAAAAGAAATGAGCCAGAGGAGTCAGTAAGGAGACTAAGAACAGGTGAGGTTAGTTAGGCAGAAGCCAAGCCACTGTAGGAACCTTTAAGCCATGTCAAGCAGCCTCATGAGATTATTATGTTAAATGAAATACAAGCCCAGAAAGAACAAGTAGCACATGATCTCACTCATATGTGGAATTTAAGCAGATCTTATAGAAGTTGAGAGTGAAATGGTGGATACTAGAGGAGAGTAGTGAGTAGGGGGAGACATGGGGAAATGTTGATCAGCACAGGTGCTAAGTTACTGTTAGCTAGGAGCAAGTTCTGCTGTGTTACTACATAGCAGTGTGACTACTGGTGAAAGTAATGTACTATAGTAATGTACTATACTAAAAGAAAGGATTTTGAAAGTTTTCACCATAAAGAAATGGTAAATATTTGGGAAAAATCATTATATTTAACCAGATTTAAACATTATCAATGTATACATGCATCAAGAATTATGATACTATATTAATATGTTATTTTTGTTTTTGTTATCAGTTCAAATTTTTTTCAATTAAAAAAGCCTTAGGGCTGGGGATTTAGCTCAGTGGTTTCACTGCCTGCTTTGCAGGCACAAGGGCCCCAGTTGGATCCCTGGTACCAAAAAAAAAAAAAAAAAAAAAGCCTTTATCTCACATTGTAAGTAAGAAGAAATCTTTTTTCTTTTCTTTTTTTTTTGAAACAGGTTCTCACTTAGTCACGAAGTAATCTAGGTTGGGCTTGAAATTGAGATCCTCCTGCCTAAGCTTTCCAGATAGCTGGAATTACAGGTGTGCACTACCACACCCAGCATGTTACCTATCTATAGTACCTGGCACGCAGCAGGCCAGCCAAGCATTTGGAGTTCTTTGTAGTCCAAAAGACATACAACCATAGGAGTTCTTTGTAGTCCAAAAGACATAAAACCATTTTGGAACCTTGATTAATAAATTACATATTGGGCTGGTGATTTAGCTCAGTGGTTCCACCACTTGCCTCACAAGCATAAGGACCCGAGTTTGATGCCCGGTACCAAAAAAAAAAAAAATGTACGTATTTTGGGGCCAGGAATGTAGCTCAGTGGCACTGCACCTGCCTAGCAAGTACAAGGTCCTGAGTTCCACCCCAGGTACCAAAAAATAAATGAATATTTTGGACAAAGGCCTCCCCTTTTATAGGTTTAATAAATTATTAATGGGATTGCATAATGGATATGATAATGTAACCAAGGGGTTAAGTCAACACCTAAGTGACTTGGTGACTGATTATCTATTTTGTGTATTAGTCACAGCCCTTGCAAGACTTACTACAGATGTTCTTTGACCTATGATGGGTTATGTCCTAATCAACCCATCATAAATTTAAAGTATCATAGGTTGAAATGTATTTAATATACCTAACCTATTTTTATAATATATCATTCATTTCACCGGAAACTCTTTTACTAACTTGTGTCAGCCACAAATGTTACACACCTTGGTGCTTGACCTACTTGCTTCTTAGCTTAAAAAAATTAACCGAGGGCCAGGGATTTAGCTCAGTGGTTCTGCCGCCTGCTTTGCAAGCGCAAGGTCCCGAGTTCAATCCCCAGTACCAAAAAAAAAGAAAAAAGAAAACGAAAACAAAAATTAACCAAATATCTTTAATGTATATTTTCAGATTTTTTTCTCATTAAAATTCTATTTAGGTCCGGGGATTTAGCTCAGTGGCACCATGCCTGCCTAGCAAGGGCAAGGTCCTGAGTTCGACTCTGTACACTGTAGATTATCCCTTGTTAAGGACTTCAAGATCTTGTGGCTGACTGGGAGGGAGGGTGGCCACTGTCTATTGCCACAAGAGTATTATCATATCGCTTATTGCTAACCTGGGAAAAGATAAAATTTGAAGGACAATTTCTACCAAATGTACATTTTGCACCACCTTAAAATGAAAAGAGTAAATCAGACCATTTGAGCTTGATACTGATAAGATGCATGTTTCTTTGTTTAAAATAGCTTTTCTTTCCACCCTCATCTTGGCTGAATTATTAGAAATAATAATTCTTGGAGGTAAATTACTTAAAACATATTTTGAAGTCTTAAATCCTTAGGTTTAGTAACTATTTAGTTGCTACTTTGCATTCTGGAAAGAAGATAAGAAAGTATTGTTCTTACATAATAAAATACAAAAGTAAAGCCTGGCACGGTAGTACATGCTTGTTGTTCCAACTGTTCAGGAGGGTGAAGCAGAAGGATCACTTGAGCCTAGGAGTTTGAGATTAGCCTGGGCAACACAGTAAGACTTCATCTCAAAAAATTACATATGGAGAAGACAGACAGACACAGACACAGAGAGAAATATTAAACATGCTATATTTTTTGACCCATACATAGGTAATTTAGAAGTGACTTTGTATATATAACATCTTACTTTAGATTTGTAAGATATTTTGAGTTTGCTGCTTCACCATTGAGCTCATTATCACTGACAATTATCAAAAATGGTCTAATACATATCACACCTTTATCCCTTTCTATTCGCGGGAAGGAGCTAAAAGCTAACAGCTGTTGAATAGGAGTTACTTGGTAGGATAATTTTATATGGTATATTATTTTCTCACAACATTGCTATGAGGTGAGTGTTGTGTCACTCATAAGGCTCAAGTTTAAACTTCAGTCAATAAAGTAAGACACAGGATTTGAGAAAATCTGCTGACTTCAGGATACATGATATTCAGCTCTAAAATAAAATGATCTGCAAGTTTAATAGACTACATTGTTCAATTTTTTCCATTTTTGATGTTCCTGGCTGAGAAGTTTTAATTTTAGAATATTAATGGTGACTAGAGTTTGACTGTTTACTAAGTGCCAGAAAGATGATCTCATGAGCTACATACTGGATTTTGGTTGCACCTATTAATAAGAATATGAATGGTACTCACAGAACTACCTTTCAAAGCTAATCAAGAGTCCCAGAAGCATGCTGATGTCCCACAGAAGTACATGCTAATTTACTTTCTCTTTTTTTGGTTCTCTTTAGGGCATTCTCTTCTACACACAGCTAAAGACCATCACTTCTCAGTGGAAAGAGGAGGATGCTTCTCTCTCCTCACCTGCTGTAGTCATGCCTACCATGGGCCGTTAGAAACAAAGTTTCTTCAAACCTAGTCCATCCTGCATAATCTCCCTTCATTCTTTTTTTTTTTGGTACTGGGGATCAAACTCGAGACCTTGTGCTTTCGAGGCAGGCGGCAGAACCACTGAGCTAAATCCCCGGCCCCCTTCATTCTTGACCAACTTCATTTGCCAACTTTGTTCAGATCAGATCTCTGGGATTAGAATATGTTTAACTCAAGTCTTTCTCAGGACTTGGCCTCTTCAAAGTTGCTATAAGGAGACATCTAGTATAATACTGACATCAGATTTTTACTAGATTTTCATACTTCTGGGGTTTTTTTTGGTACTGGGGATCAAACTCGGGTCCTTGCACTTGCACAGCAGGCAGCAAAACCACTGAGCTAAATCCCCAGCCCTCATACTTCTGTTTTTGAGATAACTGGTATAACTATGGAATGCTCATCTAGAATGACAGCCTAGACTTGTTTTCTAAAAATTCTCCCTTTTTCTGACAACTTGAAGGAGGGCAAGGTCAGCGTATATAAAAAAGGTCTTATAATTGGAAGAAGAACACTTGGATGGGGAAATAGTGTGAACATACAGTTCACCCTCTGGCTGAGCCTCAAACACAGCCCTCCATCAGTGCCAATGGGCAAGGCCATTCTGCCAAGTTTTCCTGAGCCTCCCTCATTCCACACTATACAAGATCTAATTCATTTCTACTTACCTCGATTTTTTTTTTTGGAACTGGGGATCGAAACAGGAGATCAGGACCTTGCACTTGCCAGGCAGGCAGGCACTGGCACCACTGAGCTAAACCTCTGGCCCTACTTATCCCAATATTGTGACAACTGCTTCTTTCACTTTTGCTCAATGCCACTTTGTTGTCCTTGTGATTCATGACCACTGTGCAATGTTATCATTGTCCCTATTCCTGATTCTTAAAATCACTTCGCAAGAATACCTCAGTATTCAATGAATAAATCAACTTTTTTATTATATGTGCCAAAAGTTAAGTTTTCAAATCATTAATCCCTCAGACATTAATCCAGATGCAAGTAGTTTTCTTAGTTATTTCAAAAGTTATTTTAAAAACTCAAGGAGCCATGAAGTAACAATGAAACTATGAAAGTGGGTAAAACTCTTACCTAAAGCAAATCTAACCTGCTATTATTTGCCAAATTTTATATATTATTTTCATATATATATATATGTTATTTTCTTTTTTTTTTTTTAAAGCAGGAACCCAGCTTTATTTCCTTTTTTGGTAGCAGGGATCAAACTCAGGTCCTTCCACTTGCAAGGCAGGTGGCGGAACCACTGAGCTAAATCCCCAGCCCTATGTTATTTTCTTTTGCCTGCCATTTCTCATTAGTGATACTTTTTTTCTTTTCTTTTTCATTACTGTTACTGATTGGAACCTAAGAAATTTCAAAGCTTTTCAATACATATAGTTAAGAAATGTTTTAACAGTCTTCTGCTGTTAATTCAAGTGTCCTTGTGTTTTTTGTTTCTTTGACCTATCTAAACTTTAAGTCAGAAGAGAAACTGATGTGCAGAACAGAATGGATTCTGCCTCTTTGTTCCACCATCTCAACTGAGTCTGAGCTTTCCAGACTAAAAGGTTACTGCCTCTGGTAATCCCTGCTCCTTAGCCATGTGGCTTTAGTCACTTTTCTGCTTCTCCATTTGACATTTGGATAGTGCCGCCTTTTACTCCACGGGGATTATTCAGTGAGCTAAGAGTGGTAAAAAATCTTGCAAAGTTGCAAGATTTAACTTTAAGTTTATTTACTTTAAGTTTATTACTACCACCTGTTGGAGAGAGCGTCAGAATATTCCATCTACTAGGGTGACTGAAATTTTAACAAACTATACAACCCTACAGGATCTGTTTTTTTGTTTTGTTTTTTGCTTCCTAAAAGTGAGGGTATAGAAATTTACACTTTTAGAATACAATGCCCCTGTTTTATCTGTTACAAAACACAGGTAATCTTTAATCCAACAAATTTAGGCTGGGTTGAATAAAAAGTTATTACTGTCTAAATTCCAGGTGGAATTAAATACAATCACAATGACTCTAATATTTTCCTTACATTTAAGGTAAACCACCTTTTAAAAAATACTGACTGATTGGAACTGTGTTAGTGTAAATGGAATCAGCTCATTTTGCCACCCACCTGCTGCTCAGAAGTTTCTTTTCTCTTAGAAAAAAATGTGTACAGTTACATTCTTAGTAGTAGCAGCTAAAAATTTAGTATTTTATTTTCTTTTTTGATCTGATATGGCCTCATTTGAATTTTCTCAGAGTCTACCTTGTTCTAATTAATAATAAATAACAAATTACAAATAAAAAGCACTTAAAGAGAAAAAAATCTAGCTTGTTTTGTTTTTACTGGTACCATATTTCTTTAATGCCTTTGTCTCCTAGGTTGTAGTGAGTCATACTTCCTACCTCTATCAAAGCCAAGAGTTACAAGGCCATTGTGTTGTGCTTATATAAAAGACAGTGGGGATGGGGGTGTAACATGCTCAGTGGTGTAGTGCTTGCCTACAATGCACAAAGCCCTGGGTTTGATCCTAAGTACAAAGAAAGAAAAAAAAAACATAGTACATATTTTGGCTAGACTGCTTTTCTTTCTTCCTATTCTGGTGTGTGTGTGTGTTTCCCCCACTAAAAGAGGTACAAATATACATTTGCATTATGTGTAGTATGCCTTTAGTGTGGTCACTGTTGTAAAATTTTTCATGATCTCATACTAGTCTATTTGTTACTTATTCCATTGATACCGGAGACTCCTGGTTGGCTAGTACAGAACTCTAAATTAGCAAGAAGCTGCATAGAGAAGGAAAACAGTTGTATTATCTGATAGATTAAAAACTCCTTACCATGTTGGGCTCCTGTGATCCTTTCAGAATACTGGAAAGTGCCATTTCAGAGTCTGAGACTGGAACTTGCTGAGTGATGAATGTTTGATCTTGAAGCTTACTTTCATCTGTTTGATCTTGAAGCTCAATTTCATTTGTCTGATCTTGAAGCTCAGTGTCATCCGTCTGATCCTGAAGCTTACTTTCATTCCTGCAATAAAGACAAAATAACAGTTCTGTCAACAACCATATTGGTTCAGAACAACAAACTTGTCATATTACTTTCACTCAATTCTAGCACATGTAAGATGACCATAGAACCATCCTGATCAGGCTCACATTCATGGACTTTGGCAAGAAAGCTCTTACCCAAATTCCTTCTTTTCTTCACTTTCAGAAACAACGTAGTCTGCACCTGGAGGCCTAGAACACTGGCCATATTTCCTGTAGTGGGTAAAAGTCAAACAACATAATAAGGCATTATCTCCTTATGCCCTCATATTTCAACTACACCCTTAAAGTGCTAAGTGAAAACCTTTGGCTGGATGAGCTTCTTGTTTTCAAAATGAACTTTTACACAATGATTGATGCAGTCTATTAGGCAAGTTAATATATTCACTTAAAAACTGAGACATGTTAACAGGCATGCTTGCCTGTAATCCCAGATACTTGGGAAGCAGAGGCAGGACAATCACAAGTCGTAAGTTCAAGACAAATCTGGACAGTTTAGTGAGACCCTGACTAAAAAGGGGAAAGAAAAAAAAGCGGTGTGTGTGTGTGTGTGTGTGATGTAGCTCAGTGTTCCTTGGGTTGCTCAGGGTTCCCTGGGTTTTGTTCACTACTGCAAAAACAAAAAGTTACAGGGCTGGGGATGTAGCTCAGTGGCACTGTGACTGCCTAGCAAGCGCAAGGTCCTGAGTTCAATCACTGGTACCAAAAAAAAAAAAAGTTGCAACATGTTGAACTCAAAAAACAAATACTTAAGGAGATGATAATGAAGGTACTCACCTACTCTGCCATAAAGAAGGATAAACTTGAGTCATTTTTAGGTAAATGGATGCACCTTCAGCCATAATGTTAAGTGAAATAAATCAGACATACAAGTTTAAATATCACATTGTTTCCCAAAGGGTAAATAAAAAGCAAAATGGAGGATGATATTGGGAAGTATGAAGAATATGTTCAAGTGGAAGGGCAACAAAGAAGGGAAGAAAAAGGATTTTTAAAAAAAGAAGAGAAAATAATGAAAACAAAGCTTTTGTAAATGGGAAGGGAAAAAAGGATGAAGGGAGAGAAGGGGAATGGGAAGAAAATAATTGACATTATGTAAGGTAAAAATTCCTTATGATGAATGTGATCATTATGTATGGCAAATATATACTAATAAAAATAAATCTAGGGCCAGGGATTTAGCTCTGTGGTTCTGCTGCCTGCCTCATAAGCACAAGGTCCCAAGTTTGATCCCCAATACCAAAAAAATAAATCTAAAAAAAAAAAAAAAAGTGTTCACAACAGCTATTAGTGGTAATGGACAGGGTTGAGCCAGATTGTTGACCAAAATACCCAGAACTCTCATGAACTGAGATATTACTGTACCTAGTTTCTCAAATTATTTGTTTTTGTTTTTTTGGTACTGGGGATTGAACTCGGGTCCTTGCACTTGCAAGGCAGGCGGCGGAACCACTGAGCTAAATCCCCAGCCCCTACTGTACCTAGTTTCTTCCCTATCTAGTTTGAGCTCTCTCACTTAATCTCATCAATATTTCACCATCTATTCTTATCTTATTTTTTTCCTTTATTCAGTTTTGGCATGAGATTTCAACAGGCTTAAACATGATTCCAGTGTGAGGTTCCAGTTCATTGTGTTGGTGTAAACAAGCTCACTCAAAGCTCTGTTTCTCCAAGGTTGAAAATAACAGCCGAGGATTTAGCTCAGTGTTTCCACCGCCTGCCCTGCAAGTGCAAGGTCCTCAGTTTGATCCCTGGTACCAAAAAAAAAAAGCTTAAAAAAAAAAAAGAAAATAACTGCCTGCCTGGCAAGCACATGATCCTCAGTTTGATCCCTGGTACCAAAAAAAAGAAAACAACAGTATGGAACTGGAGCCTTGGGTACAGAGAAGTCAACTCACAATAAGACAGTCAGTACCTGAATCTAACTCCACCTCTAAAAACTCTTTGGAAGGCTATCAGTGACACAAGAGCCACTTCAAAGTCCTTCACTTAACCAATAATTCTTTAAACTTTTCGCTTTTGGTTGTATTCTTTCTTTCCCTGTTCCCTATTGTGGTTATTCCTAAGGGTTCTAGCCTTACCTCTCTACTCTCCATCTTCATTCATACCAAATCCCAGTTTTTACTAAACATGGTCATGTATCTCTCCCCAAACTCCAGTCCCTATTTACAAATGCCAGGGCCGGGGATTTAGCTCAGTGGCACAGCACCTGCCTGGCAAGCAAGAGGTCCCAAGTTCAATCCCCGGTACCAAAAACAAACAAATGCCATAAAGCTATTCTTCACTTCAATATACAGTAATGCCATCATTGATTAACACTGAAAATATCACTATTTCTTCTGCCTGAAATGCTTTTTTCTTCCCTTTTTCGTTCCTGTTTACCTTTTAGAAATAAGCTCAAGGTTTTACTTCTTCAAAAATTCTGCTGACTCCCCAATGAAATCAGATTCCCTTAATCTAGGCCTTTTCACCACTGTATAATTCCTTTGACCCTGTTATAGTTGTACTTTTATATTTATTTCTGTGATGATTTGAATAGTGTTTTCTCCCATAAAATAAGTTTTATGAACCATAAACTCCCTGAGATTAGGCATGATGTCTTTATTTTTTCAGTACTATGTTCTCAATAGTAGGCACTCAGTATATGTATGTTAAGTAAATTAATGGATGGATTAAATAAAGTTTAAACATTTTTCTTACTCTGGCTTTTCTGATCTTCCTTTATATCACCATCCTTTTCTTAAATTAAAAACCTTGAACTTTTTCTTTCCTTCATTCCTTTTGTCCTTTACCACCAAGTCCTGTTCCTCTTTCCCATGTGTCTGTCAGTTTCTCCCCTTCTTTTCTGATTGCTCCCACTCTTACCTGAAACAACCCCACCACACACCCAGAGTAGTGTACGCCTGTGTTCACTGAATGTCAGCTCTGCAAACACTGACTTTGTCCTGTGTACCCTTCCAGGGAAGAGTATGAGAGTATGGTTTAGTCCTCCTCATATTCCTTGAAGGCATGGAAATAGGATACACAGTACTCTGAAATCTACAATGGCAGTAAGTTCAGAGCCTCTGTGTGATTTTTAAGGCTCAATAAAATTTAATCTTATAAATTAAACCTTACTTCCAATTACCCTACAGCATCACCAAATCTCAAGCCAGGTAGTTTTCCCTCAATGTTCCCTAAACACCCGAAGCCCATTCCTAAACCTGAATTTGTGTACTGTCTACTAAGCCCCTTGTCTGATGTGCCTTTTCTCTGCTATTGTCCCACTGTCCTACAGAGTACCCCAAAGTACCTCTTTCCAGAATGTCTTCCTACTGCTCTAGTCACTGACATGTTGTCTGACCTCCAATTATAATTTATTATGCCATCTAATTGTTTTCCCTAGTTATATTTGGTTTTAAGGAGCTAGATTGTAAGTTCTGAGTTCAAAGGCAATTTCTCTTCATTCTTTTAAATCCCTGATACTACCTACTTGATATGTACAGTATGTGCTTGATTTCTTTAGCCAGCTACTATTTAATACCAGGTTTATGTAGTCAATGACAAAACAGTGGACAGTCAAGGCATAGTGGTACACAGCTGAAATCCTGGCTCCTCGAGAGGATGAGGCAAGATGATGACAAACAAGGCCAGCCTTTTGCAAGATAAAAACAGCTGGGGGCCAGGGATTTAGCTCAGTGGTGCTGCCGCCTGCCTCACAAGCACCTGGTCCTGAGTTCAATCCCTGATACCAGAAAAAGCCTGGGCATGTAGTTTAGTAGTAGAGTGCTTTCACAGTTATGCATAAGGTCCTGGGTTCAACCACCCAGTAGTGCAAAAAAGAAGAAGGGGCAGAAATGAACAGATCCAAGAAATTTCTTTTAAGGATTAGTCTCTCTCACTCTCTCTCTCCCCTCTCTCCATCTCTTTCTCCCTCTCTCTCTCCCCCATCTGTCTCTCTCTCCAGTACTTGAGATTTATACTGAGCTATATCCCCAGCCCTTTTACATTTTATTTTTTATTTTTAGATAGGGTCTCACTAAGGGCCAGGGATGTAGCTCAGTGGTTTCGCTGCCTGCTGCGCAAGCACAAGGACCCAAGTTCAATCCCTGGTACCAAAAAAAAAAAAAAGATAGGGTCTTACTAAATTGGTAAATTGCAATTCTCCTGCCTCAGCCTCCCAAAGTGCTGGGATTATAGGCCTGCATCACCTCACCTGGCTCTATGACTCTTTCTTAGAGAATCCCTTGATTAATAATTATCTTAAAAATCATTTACTTATCTTTGCAAACCAACAAAATCTTAACAGTTGTTATTATGTGTCTCTGCGAGTACTGCACATTCAGTTTAGCAATGTTCTAACTTCTTAGAAAGCATTATAGTAAACATCACCTTAAACATAAAATTACATCTTTTAGCCAAGCATGGTGGCACATGCCTGTAATCTTGGCACTATGGAGGCTGAAGCAGGAGGATCACTGAGAGTTAGAGGCCAACCTGGGCTACCTAGTGAACTCAAGGCCAGCCTGAACTACACAGGGAGACCCTGTCTCAAAAAAAAAAAAAAAAAAAAAAAAAATCAGGTTTTTTTTCTCCCCTTTAATTCCAAATCATCTTCTTTTTTCATATTCATTCATTCATCTGCCATTCTTTATCTCTGGGAACTGCCATAGCTAGACAATGAAACTCTTTTATATTTTCTGGTCCTTAAACATATTTTCTTTTTTTTTTGGTACTGGGGCTCAAACTCGGCTCCTTGTGCTTGTGCAGCAGGCGGCGAAACCACTGAGCTAAATCCCCAGCCCTGACACGCAAGCGCAAGGTCCTGAGTTTGATCCCCAGTACTGGGGAGAAAAAAAAACTATTCAGAAGAGTAAGTTCATTGTTTCTATGTAGTTTCTAGATTTGACAACAACTTAGCATTTCACTGCAGAAATAGGAAATTACCTAGGAAAAAAACCATTCATTTTTGCAAAGAGCAATCTCAAGACTTTCTCCTTCTGCTCCCAAGTCAAATCTCCAATATCCACATTTCATTGAGTACTTGTCCTAAAGAATTTCAAGGAGTGAAGGGAAAAGGAAAAATGTGATCAAAATAAGCTTTTCTTTTTAAAATATATAAAATATGTAAACATAGGAAAAATTTCACAGTATAACTGAATATTACATACTAACTACAAAGCAAACTATGTCCATTACAAAATCATAAAGTTAAGGCAGATTCCAATATGCTAGCCAATCCAAAATGTTATATAGTCATGAAGATGAAAATGACAAAAACTATAACAACATAAAAAAAATCTGTGCTCAAACATTAACCAAAGGAGCAAAACAAGAATATTGTAATCTAACATGTATCCAGATATGGTCAAAGACAGAGTAAATTGGAAAAAATGTTGGTGATATTATTGGTAGATGTTTTTCTTATAACATTTCTTTTTATATCAAATATTTTTCTATGAAAACAGATTGACAAAAAGTAAAGTTAGTGATATAGTTGTTTTTAAATTTTTTTGACAAAAAGTAAACTTAGAAAATAACATTAAATTATAGTCTATTTTCTTAACCCCAAATAAGGTTGCATTTACTTTCCAGGTATGCCTTCATTTTTTATGGTACTGATGACTGAACCCAGGGACTTTTCACTGTGCTGCATCAATACCCAGCACCCCCACACACATTTTTTTTATTGTTTTTGAGGTACCAGGGATTGAACTTGAGACCTTGCACTTGCAAGGCAGGTGGCAGCACCACTGAGCTCAACCCCTGGCCTCCCCTCTTTTCTATTTTGAGTTGGGTCTTGGTAAGTCACTGAATTGCCCTGGCTGGACCCAAACTTGTGATCCCCTCTGCCTCAGCTTCCTAGAGCACTGGGATTACAGGATTGCACCACCGCTCCTTTCCCCCAGGCAAGTCTTTATATACTATAACTTTCCCAGAGGATTTGTAATGTACTTGCTATTTATAAAAGCTAGTATGTGCTGATGTATAACATAAGAAATATATTTGTAGATAGCTCAGTTGGGTTAAATTTAAAAGTTTACGTTTTCCCTTATGGATACCATTTATTTCAATGGTCATTCACCAATCTGCCTCTTAAAATGATGACGTAATTTTCTTTTTTTAAAATATGGTGCTAGAGATTGAATCCACATGCTAAGAATAAGCTCTATTGCTAAGCCACACTCCCAGCCCATAGAGGATCTAATATTCTAACTACTGCTTCTGCCCAGCTTGTAGAGGCAAAAAGACACTGAAGTTAAGGTGCTAAATTGCCCAGTAGCAAAAATGTCACACAGAAGGCAGAATAGGAAATCTAGTTTCTACAATAATGTAGTGAATCATTTTATTTAATTTCTCTGAACATTTATAACATGTAATACATTGGACAGGGCTAGGGATTTAGCTCAGTGGTGCCACCGCCTGCCTTGAAAGCGCAAGGGCCCAAGTTCGATCTCTGAACTCAGAAAACAGGAAACTGCCTTATATATAGTAGAGACTCAACTTATTTGTTTGTTTGGGGTTTTTTTGGTACCGGGGATCGAACTCGAGTCCTTGCGCTTGCGCAACAGGCGGCGAAACCACTGAGCTAAATCCCTGGCCTTCAACGTACTTATTAAAAAGTGGAAATTTTAAGTCAGGCATGGTGTCACATGCCTGTAATTCCAACACTCAGCCAGGCTGAGCAGGAGGCTCAGGGAGGCTGAGTTCAAGCCCAGCCTGGGCAACTTATCAACTTAGTCAGATGATGTCTCAAAATAAAAATTTTTAAAAAGGTGTGGGGATATAGTTTGCTGCAAATGCCCTGGGTACTATCTCTAGAATGAAAAAAAAAGACAAAGAAACAAAAAGGAAATCACAGCAAATCTCTTGTTAATACAAGTGGTATTCAGACTTCTGAATATGGCAAGGAAGTAATAAATTATACTATGGGTATTTTTGAAGGATAATCTTTTCACAGGCCATTAAGCATGTCCAACCTTCCCAACAGCTCTATAATTCAAAAGAACCTACGAATTATTCCCTTAAAAAATAACTTAGGGGGACTGGGCTGGGAATTTAGCTCAGTGGTTCTGGTGCCTGCCTCACAAGCACTAGTTCCCGAGTTCGATCCCCAGTACCAAAAAAAAAAAAAAATAATAATAATAATAATAATTTAGGGGCTGGGATATAACTCAGTGGTAGAGTGGCTGTCTAGCATGCAAAAGGTCCTGGATTTGATCCTTAGCACCAATAACAATAATAACAACAACAACAATAATAATAGCTGGTTCTGGCGCCTGCCTTGCAAGTGCAAGGTCCTGAGTTCGATCCCTGGTACCAAAAAAAATAATAATAATAATAGCTGGGCATGGTGGTACACATCTGTAAATCTCAGCACTCTGAGAAGCTGAGGCAGGAGGAAATCACAAGTTCAAGCCTCCCTTGGGCAATTTAGTGACTGAGCAATATCCTGTCTCAAAATAAAAACTTTAAAAAGGGGGTGAGAATCTGGGATGTATTGTAGTTCAGTGCGAAGGCCCTGAGTGCAATCTTCAGTACCACTTCAGAATAAAAATAATAATGATAATGATAATAATTTAAAGTAGAAAACACTTTTGGAAGCACTCTTAACAAAATGCTAAACTGGGCATGGTGGCTCAGGCTTATAATCTCAGTACTGGGAAGGCTGAGGCAAGAAGAGTGCTGTGAATTTGAGGCTAGCCTGAACCATATAGTGAAACTCTATCTCAAAAAGCAAAACCTGGGCGCATGCACAAGGACCCGAGTTCAATCCTCAGTACCAAAAAAAAAAGCAAAACCTGGGGCCAGGGATGTAGCTCAAAGGCATAGTGGCTGCCTGGTAAGTGCAAGGCCCTGAATTTAATTCCTGGTACAATAAGTAAATAAATAGGGCCGGGGATTTAGCTCAGTGGTTCCGCTGCCTGCCTCAAAAGCGCAAGGTCCTGAGTTTGATCCCCGGTACCAAAACAAAACAAAACAAAACAAAAATAAATAAATAAATAAAACGCTAAATTCACAGTAGTAGAGAGTCCTTTAAATTTCCTGAGCCCTTTCAAGAATCCAATTGAATTGGTACTCAAAGCATACTTTTTTCTCAAAATCTTCAAAATGCACTATAATGTAATCAATGGCATATGGGGGAAAGGCCGTGCTAAGAGACAATGTTAACAGGAAACAAAATTGTTGTATACCATCTTCAACTGCCTCAATCATTCAACTACCTTTATCACAGTGGCAGTGTTTTAGAAATTTTGGTAGACTTCTGGTTAATGCAATGATGGAGAAGCACTATTGAATATTTTCCAATCCACAGAATACTACTGCACAATAAAGAATCATTATAGGGCCAGGGACTTAGCTCAGTGGCACCACGCCTGCCTGGCAAGCACAAGGTCCGGAGTTTGATTCCCGGTACACCAGGAAAAAAGAAAAAGAATGAATGTAATAAAGAATCATTACAAAGAATTATTATACTGATTTTTTTAAATTATATGGTCAGTTAAGATTTTATTACCTATGAATTTCACCTCAGGTTGGTAAAGGAAACAGTACAAAATATATGAGAAAGTATGCTTATCAAAAATGTCTAACCATGGGGCCGGAGATTTACCTCATTGGTTCTGTCGCCTGCCTTGCAAGTGCAAGGACCTGAGTTCAATCCCCGGTACCAAAAAAAAAAGTTTAACCAGGGCTGGGGATTTAGCTCAGTGGTTCCACTGCCTGCCCTGCAAGCACAAGGACCAGAGTTCAATCCCCAG